AGTAACAGTGGGTTGCGGGCATTAAGAAAACGTACCATTAAGAAACCCTACCAAGCGATTTCCGCAAAAATCTAAGAAACCACGGCGCGCCGCAGGCGCGGCCCCGAGAAAAGGCCAGACACGAGTGTGAACGGGAGGCCCAGCTCAAAATTTCTCTTCGCCTGCGGCGCGCGCACTTGTCACTTTCCAAGTCTGCGGTGTTCTGAGTGGATGGAGTGAATGGAGGCGTGTGTGCGTCTTCCCGTCATCCAGTATCCAGACAGAGAGCCGACTCGGCGGCAGACTCTGGCATCGCCCTCGCGGACCGCAGCTTACCTCTTACCTAAAAAATCCTTCGGGCCGGCGCTCTGGCTTGAGTGCCCCGGCCGGAGCTAAGAAACCACGGCGTGGGGTGGATGAGGGCTGTGGAAAGGCTTGGCCGGGGGCACGCAGGGGGCGCCGCTCGCTACGGGCCGCTGCGGCGCCCATCCTTTCGAAGAATGCCATCCTGGAATATAGGTGAGACCGCACAGGGGAACGGGAGCGGGGAGCGCATGAGGGGGGCTGCGCAGGGTTCAGCCACACGACAGGGTCCCCTCCCGGATACGAATAAATAAATAAATAAAACGGGCACGCCAAACGAGGGGTGGGAGAAGGACAGGGTCCCTACCTGCACGAGCAGGATCTTGTAAGGACGATCTAGGACACAAAATTCCACGCTGGGCCGCCAGTGTTTTCTTTGGTATTTATCGACCTCGCCAGGTCGCTAAGCTTCTTGCGTGATGCTGTCCACTTTTGTCGCCTCCTCGCTCAGCCTGTCGGCGCCGATCGGCGTGAGCCGGGTCGCGCAGAGCCGCGTCGGCTGCACGCGCATGTCGGACGACGAGCCGTGGAACTCCAACGCCCAGTCCTCCACCACGCTCGACAAGAGCACGCTCGAGTGAGCACCACAGCCCGCACTACCCTCTGCCCCTCATGCCGCAGTCGGTGGGAGGGCGTAGACAGTGGCGGCACCGCCCCCACCGCCGCGCCTCCCGCTCACCAGCGGCGGCTCTCTCCACAGGGCTGCGTACGACGCGGCGATGAATGCGCCGGCGCCGGCCGCGGCGGGCGGCAAGCAGGACTTCCTGGAGGCGGAGCCGTACTGGGACCAGTCGACGATCCCGGTCAACACGTACAAGAACAAGGCGCCCTTTGTCGGCAAGATCGTCTCGACCAAGCGCATCGTCGGCCCCGAGGCGCCACCCGCCGCCGCCGCCACGCGCCCGGGAGAGGGACGGAGAGGGAGCTAGTGCAAGGGCCGTGGAGTCCGCCCTTGTCCGAGCCCCCGCGGCGCCGCCCTCCGCCCGGCAGGCGACGGGAGAGACGTGCGACGTCGTCATGTCGCACGGCGGCAAGATGCCGTACTGGGAGGGCCAGTCGTACGGCGTCAT